CTTCCTTGTCTTTAAAGCGATAGCGATATTTCCCACGGAAACAAAAGACAACCCAGCACAAAAGGACGAAAAATAAGAGCGCGGAGAGAATATGCATCTATTTAGGAATTATTTACAGCTATAAATCTGCTCTAAATCTGCTCTAAATCTGCTCTAACAAAATAAGTATGGTGTAATAAAGTATACACTACTAAAGTATACATACTATATATTAACACATTTTAATTTTTATAAATAAAATTGAAGTGTTCTCTTGAAAAAAAGATGTTTTTAATTTCCCCCTCTTCCCTCTTTAAAATATAAGGAAGAAAAAGATATCGATTGAAATTTGCGTCATGTTTTCGGACGAATTAAATATAAATTTTTTTATATTACACTTTCGTCGTCTCATTACATCTTTCACTCGTTATCTCTCGATCTGCCTCTTTTTCCTGATGTGATGCAAAAATCTAACTCTTGGCCTGTGCTTGAGTAAATTCATCTTTTTTCCCCCCTTAAAGTCTTTCTCTTGCTTGATGAAGAATAAGGGACGGCTTGCGGTTTCTCGGTTGTCCGCTACGTTTCCCGTATTCTTGATTTTGCAATAAAAAATTCTTTCCCGTTATTCTATAATCTATCTCATGCAAAAAATGCAATACAGCCACCGGATGATGGCTTCAATAAAGTGGGATTGTAAAACAATTTAGTAAGAATCATTGAAGAAACACTAAATTCTAAATTGACAAATTTTGTTTAGTTACCGTGATAGAAATTTTCCATGTAAATAAAACATTTTCAGGTTTCTATAATTTTTAATCAACATGCGATACACAGTCGCGTCATACACATAATCAAGTTTTAATTTAGGACAACTATATACATCACGTGCATCACCAAAATAGCAATAATAACAGTGGTGTATCCTCATCCTCTCAAATTTTAAAATTCGTGCTCCGAATATAGTGTGAGAAAATGTGTGCTCTGCGATGCATCCGCGAATGAGCTTTTTTTCCAACGGCTTCCGTCGAGAGCGACAACAAAGCGTATCATTCGTCGTCGAAAATGAAACGCGACTTCCGGAAAAATCGTATTCGCGACGCGGCGAGCGCATCAGAGAAGTTGCGCGATCTCACGCGTTTTTGCAATTAATTCGCGTGGGACGCGGTTTTCAATCGAAAAGTTTATTTAACCGACGCGCGTACTCTGCGCTACAGAATTAACGGGATCATCGCTCGTGACGTTTGCCACGAACACGAGGAGAAAGAGAGAGAGAGAGAGAGAGAGAGAGAGAGAGTGCTCCACGTTTGACGATGTTAATTAAAACGCATATACCGGCCACGCACGATAGCTGGTTCGCGCGATGTATCATATTCCATCGGACAGAGCTGTTGTTTGTATCTTCAACATCCTTTTAACTAACAGTTTATCCGTTGAGAGAAAAGGGGTGAATTTTGCAGTACGTGGGCGAACGTATGATCGAATGGATAGTCTGGCATCGATTTATTTTCAAGCGGTCGCGCGCTTACGAGTGACTTTCACTTTTCCACGGAACTTTATCTTACTTTTATCGTTTTACGTGCTATATAAAGATATATACATATATACATACATTAATATATGCAGATACATAAAAACAAACATCATTATATGCAGATGCGTCAAAGTGAGCATAATTAGAGTCCATTGGTCATCAAACGAATTTTTATCATATTTTTGATCACCATTTATTCGTCTGTATGCGTTCAGATTTTGCCCACTTGGTCTTCCGCCTTATTCCTTTATCTTACATCACTCATGCCTTATCTTATTGGCGAACAAAGGTAAAATATTCTTTGGGAGGGTAAAAAGGATATCCGCTTTGCTTGCTCTCTCTCTCTCTCTCTCTCTCTCTCTCTCTCTCTCTCTCTCTCTCACATATATTTTTATATAGGTTCTTAATTATTTAACTTTTATATATGTTTCCTTTGCTTCGTAGGCAAAAGCAACGCAATAGTGCTTCAAAAATGTAGTTTGCAGGAAATATTTCCATCACGTGCAATGTTACGCGTCGACTCGTCGGTGAAATTTGAGTAAAAGCGCAGGTGTTACTATAGGCTAGATAATTCATAATGTCGAAGCGCGTATAGTTGTCACTTTGCCATACAGAATCCCTCTTGGATATCCCTTTGTAAGACCTTTTTATTTCCTCTCTCGGCTACTTCTCCTTCTTGTTGTTACTGCCTCATTTTTCTTCGACAAAACTTTATATCGAGAAACCGCATAAGGGGTCTTTTAAAGCGATTGGTTCCCTTCGCGCAATATCAAATTTTCAGGTGTTCTCTTTGGTCTTTCTTTTTTGGAAAAGATGTATTATGTATAGGACATAGTACAACATAGTACACTGCATACATGCTGTATTACATTTATGACAAAACATGCGTCTTGGATACATGAAAGGAAAGAATGCACGAATGTATTTTTGAATGAGAGAGAGAGAGAGAGAAATGTAGAAATTTAAAAGGAGATATTAAAAAGACGGAATTAAAATTGAAAATTTGTGCATCAAGAATTTGTAAGGCGAGTCCTACCTGATCCGAGAGGAAATTTAACTAAATTTTTACTCGCGGCATAGATCACTCTCTTTGAAGAAAGAAAAATTTCCTCGAAATTAAGAAAAGTCACGCAAAGGCTAGTTTATCCCCTTGTTAATCGGCGAGAAAACGAGGGCATAATTTGTGAGGAAAAAACTGTTTGGAACAAAAACAAATCGTTGGTGGAGAGGAAGTGGAGGTTGCTCGTAAACTCGAAAACTTTCCACGAAACGCGATTTTGCGCTCGCATTCGTTTGATATGTATCTATCGTTTGCTAAGCGAGATGTTAAAAATTTAATGAGCTTCGTGTAAAGCTCGTAATCCTCGAGATGGACGTTAAATGTTGCACGAGAAGAGCTCGCTTTGCTTTCGAGTGAGAGCGGCTGTCGGCCGGAAAGACAAACGCTTTTAAATTCGATTTTGCTCGTAATTGAATCTCGGCTTTACTTTCGTGATGAGAGACGTAATATCTTTTGCGATACACGTAATAAGGAGAAGTGTAAGCGAATGCAAATTTTGCCGAGTGCCACATCAATCTCGCTCGGACAATTTTCGCGCATCAAATTCGAGATAAGTATAATCTGTCAGCATAATCAGATTCCTTTTTTGATCCTCGAAAGCGTCGCGTATCGCACGTTCATTCGCTGGGATGCTCTTATCACGAAGCAAGGATTAACTTTGCTCGAAGAAGCAAAATTGTCTCGCCAATTATTAATCACGGGTATAAATAAATGGGGGTGCATAACAATTGAAATAGAGGAGTGTGTACTCATGATACTCTACATATTTTGTTTACGACAATAACAATATCTTTTTTGTTTTTCACAAATCTAAATCGATAATATCGTAATATCGTAATATCGTAAATCACTTGGGGAACCGCAACGAGAGAGCGGAGGATGTTTTTCCCTTTGACAATCGCACTCGCGCCACATGTGTTTCCAGATTTCCACGTCGCGCGAACGGGACAAAACGCTAAAAATATTAAGCGAATGCATTGCGATAACTTCCAATGCATTAGTCGGTCGCTTCGCGTGTTGAAAAACTTCTTGCTTTTCGCGTTTTCAACGCGACGTAACACGACGCGGTGGTCCTCAAATTCCCACGGTGGTTTCGCGGAGCATATCGCACCGCTAAAGTGGAAGAAACTTGTTCGTCACTTCGTTGTTCGCGCGATCACGCGGAGTTTTGTAAAATCGCGCCTAGAAGCGCCGATTTTTTAATTATTCAATTATTCCGAACGATTCGTATTTGTCTTTCCAATGAGAAACCAACGTTCCATTGATCCGCTGTTATATTTTTATAATACATACACACATTGTATGTGTATACATACGTATACAACACAATATTAACAAGTTTCCAACTATAATTGGTCTATCACTTATCATTAATAATAATGTCACATTATGGTCGACAAGCTCTACGGTTTGATAGGGTTCTATGGTCTGGGATACCGTCGCTCACGTTCGATACCGTCTGACTATGATTGGCCCGTATCACTTATGACGACTGATTATAATCGATTTGTATGGCTTACGTCCAATATACCGATATACCGATGTAAGTCGACTCAACCGAAGAGAGCGACTCGCTACTCTGATTGCTTCCAAAACGGAGCAAGATCGAAAGCATGCTTCCCTCGCTTCGCGAAATGCAGACTGCGAATCTATTCGATATTATTTTATTCGTTTTGTCAGTTCTTTGTCGCTATTTTCTCAAAAAAAAAAACCATTCTCAAAAAGTATTTTTTGAAATGAAAAATTGTCGTGATAAATTCGTCTCCGCGCGGCATCACTGATTATTATCGTTCGCGATTCACTTAATGGTCATGCATCCGTTCTGGGTTCTCGGTTCTCGGTCTGCCGCCGTGACGGCCATCGCCCATCACACGGGCCGTGACAGGCAACATTGGAAGAATTATTCTGAATCGGAGCACGATGACCACCTCGAATCACGTTCGCTCTTTACAGTCTTTACCCCGAGGGCTGCTCCGAAACGTCCCTTATGAAAAATGAACGCTCGACCGTTGGACATACGAGGTGATTAATTTTGAACGATCGAAATGTAAGAATTGAATAAATCACGAATTAAATAAATTGCGCGCGAGTAATTTTTCAATTATGAAACTTTACACACTGATTTTTAGAACAAGTTGGAAAATTTACAGAAGCTGGAGAAAGACCAGAGTATCGTTTGCAGACCATATATATATATAAACCACTTTATTTTTACAATATTATCAATCTTTAAATTATACTAATCGCTGATTCCATTATAACTCAACGACTTGTTAAATAATTAATATGCTTTCCTTATGCTTATGCAAGTGACGATTATAAAGATTAAAGAATTGAGAAAAAAATCGAGTTATTCTCCAAATAAAAATAACTTGATAACATGAAATAAAAAATTTCTATTTAGTGGATCAAACGTGTCACATTACTCACTCTGTTCGAAATTCAAGTTCCATCTCGTTTTATCTTCTAAGAATCATCATGTCAGCAACAGCTATTCTAATATTCTAATATTCACGCTAGTAGAATTTAATGCGAAAGAGTCATTGTCAAATTGTAATTCGTCAACGAAAGTCCATGACCAGGTAGGAGAATTAAGTCGCGCGCGCATGCAAATCCTTCACTATAGGTATACTGTAAATCCTTCACTATGTTTTCGATTCTCGATTAAAGAAGATTCGTTGACGACGATCGAGTCTCGCAGCGATTGTCGCAGCGATGGTTGAATGCACTTTCTCGCTATACTAAACGTAGTAAACGTCGTTAACTAAATTGCCGTCCCGGACGTAGGCGAGCTCGATAGAGCTATCGAGCTTCACTCTATGGACAAGGACGAGGGTGTCCTCGTTCGCGGCCGTCTGTTCCCGCAGATCCTTCTCTAGCTTCCTCTAGAAATCACTCCTCGTAGCAGATACACTGGTGGTTGGGGCAAAATCCAACAAACATTTCCGTAAAGCTATTATATTTCGTAAAACTTTTCACGCTTAAAACAACTGTCATGTCTCAACATTGGGATACGTTGCAACTTGAAACTTGAAACTCGCTGTTAGTGAATATCAAGCCGACAATGCCGACACCGAACTGTCGCGTCGCGTCGGTGGTGAGCGATAGAGCGTTTCAGCGATTCGAGACGAGCTTGGCGACGACGGCGACGACGGCAACGGCACGGGCGACGAGATCGACGAAATCGACGAGATTCGAATCGAGGTCGCGCGGTCGGCGCGGCCGCTGCCGCGGTCGAGCTTCGATCGAAAAGACGAAACAAGACGAAGCAATAATTGCGAAGTCGGCAAGTCGGCGCGAACGAAATGCGAACAGGTACAGGTACAGACCGAGCCGAGCCGAGCCGAGCGACGACGACGAGCGAGTCGTTGGCGAGGAGCGTACGCCGGCTTTTACGTACGGACGCACCCCCGTAGTAACGGCAGGGCGCAGGATCGCTCTCCGACTCCGATGTCTCCGGGGGTGGTTGTGGCGCATGTGCGCATGGCAAATGTACAACGGGAACGGGAACGGAGACGCGACGCGGCGGAGGGCCGCATACGAAAGCGCGTAGTCACCTATATACATATATATATATATATAGCCCCGTTCCGTCGACCCTCTCCTTCTCTGCCCTTCTTTCGTCCTCCTTTTTTTTCCTCTTTCCCTTCTTTCCTGCCGTCCTTTTTTCCTGCTCCCCTTCTTCCACATCTTTATAAATGTTTTCTTCGCCTCTATTACGCCCGCATTGATGCACTTTTTGTTATTTTTGTTCCTGGATTACATTAATGATGACGAGAATCAACATTGGCTTCGCGTTCGAAGAAACTTGGTTAAACCTTTCCTCTCATACTACGTAGTACGTATACGTGTATCCATCTCGTTCTCGTATTTGTTCGTGCGCATCTCTAGATGCGGCGCTTGTTCACAAATCCTTCTTAATTGTCGTATACGACTCTAAAAAAATGCACGCGCGAAACGTTATGTTAAGTTTTATTTTCTCTCATATGGTTTCATCATTGTTCAAAATGTTGACAACAATCGTAAACTCGAATAGATACGAGGCGCAAAGAAATCGATAATTTGGTACAAATCCATACAGGTCAATCATTTTTAGCATATCTAAATCCGTTTTTTTTAAATATATATCTGACTTGCATTTTGCATCATACTTAGCTCCTACGGTTATAATTCACAATAAATAATCCGGTCGAAACGTTTCGGACGAAACGTTTGGAATGTTTTCCACTTTTGTCCTGTGTCATCCTGCCGATGATGATGACGAGGACATCGAGCGATCAACATGGAGCAGAAACGTTTCAAATCGATCTATCCCATCGAGAAGAGATATTTGACATTTTATTTAAAATTACATATTATGCATACAAATATTAGTTTTTGCACTTAATTTGCAAATGCTCGATCGCTTTTAGCCGTCGCGGATAATTTTAGTAAGGCGTAATCGCCCCGCTTATTTTTCTTCAATATATCTTGCAACTTTGCGATACTCGAACATCCTAGTGATCCCAGTCACCGATCTTTTTCTTTGTTCTACCCTTCATGATGTTTGTTTAGTTTTTGCACCTTCTTAGCTAACTCGCACGTTCTCGCCGCGCCGCGCGCCAATCCTCCAGCCTCGATTCCTTTTCTTCTGCGTAATTCGACGCGAAAACGACAGCTCCGATATCGTCCATGAAGCATACGCGCGCGCGCGCGCGTGTGTGTGTGTGTGTGTGTATCGATATATCTCACGCGGTGACGTCTGATCTCTATTCTCGTGCCGACGAGATGCTGGTTTCGACAAATAATCCGATAAAGGAATGGACGAAAAATTTCAGCATGCAATTCTAGAAATGATGAAATTTTTGCCGAAAAGAAAGATTTTCTAAAATTATTTTATTCGTTTCAAAGAGTGTAATGGGAAATTGATATTTGATGCTTATTGTTACTTTGAACAATAATTTAACTTTAACTGATAAAACACATTAATTCTTTTTTTTTTTTTTCATAAAACTTTTCTCTGGTCTCTCGAAGGAGAGCAAGTGCATCGCTCGCGTTCCTCTCGCAACGCGGAATAGAATTTATCGTATACGATCTTTGTGTCTCATTGTTCTCACCGTCGCCGTCGCTCGTGTATAGTACAGCGCTTCTACTCGATCGTTCGCTCCGATCGTACTCGCTCCCCGTTCACTCACACCTCTACACCTCTAGGCCTCTACGTTTCTACGCTTCTACGCCTCGCGAGAGATTTGAAGGAGAGTTCAAAGAGAACATCGAAAGATACACCTCCACGGTACAAACGATCGCATCCAGCGGCAAGCAGTTTTTTCCTCAAGAAATGACCGCATGATATGATGATGATTTTAGTGATATCGTCTCGCGACTTTTGAGCACGAGAGCACAGTTTTGAAAAAAAAATTAAACTAATTTCTAGGATATCTTTCTTATCTATGAAGACTAAAAATCATCGCAATGTCAGATTATTGAATGGGCGAGAAGAGAAATATTTGCCAACTCACCAATTGTCTTGGTGATGCAGACGAAAATTCATTCGTCATCTTTCACATCTGAAGATGTACTTGACGATGCGCATTAGGCTACGTATCTTGGCGATCACCTCCTCTTGCATAAGATTAAAACACATAGCAATCAGCGCCATTCCTGAACATACAAAAATATATTACGAGTGATTCGACATCTCTGTAAAGTCTGTATCGATTATTAGATTAGAGCGTGATTTTAAGCATCACGGATATTATATATATTGCGCCAATTGTTGCGCGAATTGAGAGTACGGAAGCGGTCGAAACGTTTAAAAGCACTTGAATATTTTCCGCGAAAAATCTGCCTGGCAATCGGGTATTGATTGAAACGAACTTAATGCGCTCGCAGCACGGAAAGCTGTATGGCAACGGGTGAAATCGCGTTGCAGGATTTAAAGCGGTTGATCCCTTTTAAAACGATTGTCTTCGCGCCGTGGCGTTGAGCGTCAAAAATTCTGTTCGGCAATCGGATTTCTTAAAAAACTAGCCTTTTATTTTTTATCTCAATTTACTGAGGACTGAAATGTGCACGATTAAATAATTTTAATACTATTGATCTGTAACGTAATAACGTAATAACGTAATAACGTAATAACGAGTAACAAAAGAGCAATAATCGAACGAGTGTAAAGGCAATAATCAATCTTCTTTATGAGGGAAAATTTTATTCGGAGCAGTTATAAGAGGATTTTCTTTGAAGGAAGCTCTAAATCTCTTATTGATTTTTGTATATAAATACAATAATAATAGATGCGTTATCATACGTATGTGTATAAAACTTACCGAGCATCAAGTACATGGAACAGAAGATGAAAGATAAATCGAGGCCTTGCCCGGAGTAGATCTCGTCGCCAGGGACGATGTCGCCGAAACCTATGGTCGACAAAGACACGAAGCAGAAGTAAGAACCGTCCAGCATATTCCAATCCTCCCATATCGAAAACAGAATTGCTCCGCCCCAAATATACCTAATATCGAGAGCAAAAAGTAAAGGAAAGTCAATGCTGTCAGTTCGGGTTGTTAGACGTACGGTTTTGCCGAGAGAAAGTGACGAATTTCCGAAAGAAAGTGACATACAAGTTTAATCGTGGAATATTGAACTCGTAAACTGAGCGTTAATATGTTAACTGAGCAATGTTAATATGGCTATCCAAATATAACGCATCCGAAAATTATATACTTGATAATCTTACCTTAATAGAGCTTTAATTTGAATTGAATTGAAATTTGCCAATCACGAAAATTATAGTCACTTACCTGGTGAAAAAATGTCTCATATTTTCTCAGAAATTTTATAAGAATTGAGACTTGTAAAAAATTCTAAAAAAAAATGTATAAAATTTCTCAGATACTCTCAAAAATAATTGGATGAGAATGATTTTCGGAATCCGTATGTATGAATTAATTTCTGATAAATTGCACAGATTTTCTCATATTTATTCAGATTTCTACAAAGATATATTGGCGGGAAAAATCTGAAATATTTTATTATTATTTTATCTGAATTTTTCTGAAAATGTTCTAATTCGTATAAAACATCTGAAAAATTCTGAGACATTTTTCCACCAGAGTTGTAACTTTTCAAATTAAGTTATGTCGAAAAAATTTGCTATATATAAGTTGTAGTTGTGTATGTATAATATAAATACAGATAAAAAACTATTCCTATATTTCCTATCAAGAGCAATGAAATTATTGTCATTTCTTTTTAATTCATTTATCTATCCATTTACGACCTTATAAAAAGTGAATCTTTTAATTAACTAAAATATTAAATTAACATGCGGTCCTATTACATCTCTCGTCAGATACTCACCCTACCATAATAGCGAGACAGAGAGTTAACGGCACTGTCACATGCTGAGGATCGTAGCTCTCGTCGCTCTGCTCGCTCTGGTCGTCATCGTCTTCGTTGTTGCCGTCGCCTTCATTAACGGTGCCGTCGCCACCGTTGTCGTCGTTTCTAGGCAAAGTTTCCTCAACGTCCAAACTCGACGTATCTACCTCCCCGCCATACGTGCTTACAATCTGCAGACAAATTTTGTTAAATATTCTCTTATTCTGACTTGATATCTCAAAATTACCAGAATTTTCTCTCTCTCTCTCTCTCTCTCTCTCTCTCTCTCTCTCGTAACGAACATAATAATATCGAAGCCTTTGATATCGAAGAAATTTGTTTTTCCAGCCCGGTCTCCGTTTTGCATTCCGGATATATGAAAGTAATTCTCAAGGAAGTATAAGGTAATTCTGTATGAAAGCTCAAGTCTACTGCACTCCACCGCATCACGATGCTACTCTGATTAGAGTGCGATAGGATTCTAATTCCGGTTGCAGCGTTCGTCGCTTACCAACTTACCTGCCACCTGTCTCTTTTTGTAGCCGGATCATTTGATATCTCCGACGTTCTCGCGCTTGCCGCACCATACGGTCTTTTTCGACATCTTAAAAAACAATTGAAATCATGATTAATTCAACGGTTTCAAATCTGACAAAATTTGTTGCGCTATCAAAAAATATACTAGAAACATTTATGAGAATGTGACACACTTTTAAAGCGAGGAGAAGAACGGTCTTACTTGCACAAGCAACAGCGGGCGTAGGTCCATTTGAAGCTTCTGGCCAGAATGTCGCCGATGTTGCTGAGATAGAGAAGGAAAAGCGGCATCCCTATTATCGCATACACTATAGTCGCGACTTTGCCCCATTTCGTTCTGGGATAAAGATTGCCGTAACCTGCGCAATAAACGAGAACGCGGCAAGTGAGTTTATCGACGAGCTTCGTTGCTTCGTTGCTTCCTCTCGTTTCTTGCTTCACATCCATCCCGTACGTGAACTGATTCATTTTTTATTAATTTATTGCCCGCGGTGTTCCTCTCAGGTAGAAACCCAGTATGGTGCCGT